GGTGGTGACCTGGGGTCTGCGTTCAGCGCTGTCGTTCTCTGACGACATCATCGTGGACGCAGTTTCGATTTACTATCCAGGAAGCTGGTTGGTGACTGGTCCAGTATTCAATCTCACACACTGCTTTCGTCGAAAACAGGTCGCGGCGTTCTGGTCTCGCGGCGCGTAGGCAGCTCAACAGGCGTCCGTTACGTGGTCCATTGCAAATATACGTGGTCCTTTCGCGGACAGAGAGGCAAAGGGCGGCGCGGGTGATGAACCGATTGTGTTCTGCGCAGGCCTTTGCAGTTGCTGCCTCACATTCCACGACGATAAGGCACTTCCTCCTAGACCTCATGGTCTGTGCCTATGTGCTGAGATATAGGTGTACAGAACTTCGCTGAGGGTCAGGACTTGGCATTGTCAGAGCGTACATGCTAATGATGGGGGCAGGAGGGGACGAATCTCTCCCCGCGGACTGATTTTTTTGTTTTGATGAGGCGATCACTGGTGGTCGGCGGAAGTGAAGCACTTTTTCCTATTACGGCCGCCCCTGTATGGGGGAGTGTCAATGAGGACGGCAATACGCACTTTGTGTTGAGGCTGACAGAGGGAACTTAGAAGAGTCCCTCTTTCTGGTTGGTTGTTGTCCAAACGAGAACTAAATCGCTGGCGGGGGGAGAGGATGGAAACGAGTGATGTTTCTGCTGTAGCCGCGTGTAGTACATCCAGAAGCCATGCTCAGCTGTGGTTAGGGTGGTTTTTGAGCCCCTTCCCCCTGAGTAGGACATCCCAGATGACTGCCGAGTTCTATTACGGCTTACGGACAACGTAGTGTGGAAACGACCCGAATTGGTCTGAGCCACCTACGCGATTGCACTTTGTCCTCTCTGTGGGAGATTTTATGGAGGAGGGGAGACAAGACGGTGTTAATGGGATTGGCCTCGGAAGTGGCTGAGTGGTAAAAACTAGCTGTACGCGGAGTTATCGCGAGGACTTGCGCAATACCGATCTCTCTCTTCGCAGTCACACAGCGGTGCGGTAGCAAGACCGTCGGCGGTTGACGGTTGAAATGGGGCGCAGTGGCTGGCCTCGCTTATGCGTAACACAACATGGCTGATAACTTCCTACTCCAAAAGTCGAGCTATACAAACGGCAAACGTACAAAAGGGCAAAAACGCTAGTAGAGGTTTTTAAAGCCGAAAAGAACGCTTCTTTATGTGTGGAATTTGAGGAAAACATAACAGAGGAGGGTCAGATGTGGTTATGTAGCCCCATCTTAGTTAAACAAACCTCAGTCGCCTGCAATACGGGACCGGCGTTAATTGAGTTTTTGCAGATGGGGCCCGGGAACGCACAGGCGACGAGGTCAAACAATTGCATGTAAAAGAGAAGCTATTGGGGATGCGCGGTTGTGCTTTGAGTGATTGAGAAATAGCTGCCCTAACCACTAACCCTAACCCAACAGTGTTGTGTACATCAGGTGGGGCTACATAACCACATCTGGCCCAAAGGAGTTGTGTGTGCATACTTTCTGGGAGATTAAAAACCGGCGAAAAAAATGTCCACCACTTAAGATAATAAGTTGTACTGAAATTGTACTAAATTGCACTGACGTGACGCTCAAAATAGGCTCCCCCAATTGTGTAATGTGTGAAAAGATCAGACGCGTCGGCTAATCAAACAGGCTGCGTCGAGGACCCCTTTCCCGGAAGGGTAGCGATACACCAGAATGACACCCCTCAACGGCGCCTCCGCCAAATAAAAAGGCAATTTAGCAAGCAGACATGGACGAAATCATACCATTTCGTTGAGAACGTTGACGGCGCGACCGAAGTTGGTAGCCTGAAAACCGGTGGAGGCGTAGGACTGCAGCAGGGCCTCGTAATCGACGCCTTTGTTGAAGTCGTAGCCTTTGACTGTGACGTTGACACCCTCTGGCAGTGCCTTGCTGGGTTTCAGGACTGCCTCGACGAAGCCAGGAGGTCGTTCTCTGCTATCTCCAGAGCCACTGTTAGCCGACATCTACAAGAACAATGCATTGCCTCAAGGCATGACCGCTTGGTCACATAAAAAGATGGCACTGAAGGCAGGGGGAGTCCCCTCTAGACGAGCAGAAGTACGCTCAGCCTAGATGAAAATGCAGTCGTTTCTGCGTAGGAATAAATTGTATGAATGGAATCGGCCGTTCAGGTTCCAGCTGTATGCATAAGTAGAGAAGATCGTTCGATCACCAGAGGCGTTTCTTCATTTGACTGAGTTTCCAAACTCGCGCAGGAGTGCATCGCCAGAGGTAAAGGCGGCAACGGAACGAACAAAAGTCATAGAGGGCTATGAGCCAATCAAACATCAGTGGCTGTGCAGGGTTCTGTAGGCCGGCTCCAGATCGATACATCGATCGACTGAGTTCTCATCCGAGGCCAAGACCTCGAGCAATTATCAGTTTGTTTTGATTCTGGCGCAGACGATTATCTTGGTGGGTGGGAAGTTAAACTAGTGGCTCCTTCTGAAACAGTGTAGGCACAGCCATTTGTGATAATCTGTCACCTCGTCGCACAGTCAGTTTACGTTCGCGTATGTGCGATCCCAGCATGCGTTTAGTCAGACCTTTGTAGTTAAAAGGACAGTTTAGGCAGGGTGCATGATACCCTTCACTCGACTACTCATTTTGATTTTAACTGTCCTTGATTCTCATGATCTAGCCGTGCATAGTGGCTTTGGGCCGACGTGAAATTTCAAAGCAATTTAAAAGCTTAGACAAATAAAGAAATGATTCCGATGATAGGCCAATCCTCTTTCTCCTTCCCTTCTCACGAATTATATGCTCCAAACCAATTTGCAAACACGGGACGGCCTGTGTTACTCACGAAACCATCGACATACACGTAGCAGTGCCGTTCACTGAACTGGTCTGATTGCTGTAAGGAACACGCACGTCCCGTTTCGTCAAGGAGATCAAGCCCAAGAAAAATTAATCCACGGTTGGCTGATCACCGTCACTTAGCCGACCACGAAGTCCTTAGATCGGAACAGCAAAGCAGAACACGACGTGAGCATTCAATCTTTGAATCAGAGCGGATCGACGAACGTCATTCCCTGGGTTGTTTCGGCTTAACTAAACGACAATAGCACGCTTCAGGTTAGGTTTGGACTCTGACCACTTACAACATTTCCGCACACAAGGCTACCTGACAGCCCCATTGCTCCAAGGGGCGACGCCCATCGCGGACCCGACGGAGCGGTCACAGCACCCGCGACTTGTGCGTAAATTAGCTTATGGTGAATTGTTGGGCGGTCGCTCCTGTGGTGCAAAACACAGCCGTCATTAGCGTGTAACCGTTTGAGGTATCCCACTGCTGTATCCTTTGGTGGGAACATTAAGCAAGATGCTCAGAAGTCGCAATCAAGCGTTACGCAGACTCCACGGCGAGCCATTATGGTCCCGCGTCGATTTACGTTAGTTGATTCTTCAGTGAAAAGTCGGCCCATCTGCTGTTTGACCGCGTGGGTCCATTAAGATGGTCAGTCACTGCGCGCGATCAGATGATTGACCGGCTCGGACAGTGGACTGGTGTCTGGGAGGGGGGATGGTGAGGGCATCTCTGAAGGCTGTGTCCCCATGGCACCCAGCGCATATTCCTCACTATAAACAGTCTGATGCGCTTTCAGACTATCGCGGTGCATCAGAAGTCAGGGCTTAGAAGGCTGCCAACTGACTGGGTAACTCGGTTCTCTCAGGATGGAGAGTCCGGCTGAAGTGGAAGTGTCTTTGTGGCAATCCAACGCAGGTAGGATCCAAGCTCCCTTGTTATTTTGGTAAAGTCCTGATCCACCGTACGTGGAAAGGGCGCGTGGCACGCGTAGACATGTCTTTTAACTTTACCAGACAACTTGTCCGATCCCATCTTTGGCGTCTTGACTCTGATGAGTGAAAGACTGCAGCAGATGCAGCGTAAATCTTCCACCATTACAAACTTATTGACGCGCAATTCACCGTCCCTGAGTCCACCCCACGCTGTGGGGCATACGGAGGACATCGTCGGGAACGACGGCCGAATTCTCATAGGCCCGCGTCGGCGGTTTCTGTCAGGAGTCTGGCAAATAATGACCTCGAATAGGTATTTTATGATCTCCAAATTATTAGTCTTCGGAAAGAACAGTCTGTGAACCATACTAATCCTCAATTTTAAGGACTCAACGAACCCGAACTGACGGTGGAGGATTCAAAGGGAGTCGTGCCTAAATCCTAGAAGGAGCCCTTCAAACTGATTTTTACGGCACGCAAAAGTTGTAGTAGGAAAGAAAAAATCACTGCGTAGTATGTACATTCACATAAGAAAAATAGCAATTACAGAAATCAAAAAGTGGAGGTGATATAACGTGAGTGTATTTCGTAATACAATCACAGTGGCAGTGGAACCGGAAGAGACGGCTAAGTTAAAAGGGCAGAACGGGGAGGGGGGGGGTCAGGCAGGACTCTAGTCCAGTTTCCAGTGCTCTGAGGAGACCACATTTCGGTTGTCGCGGACAGGTAAGAACGAGGAGCTTGACTCCTCGGAGATGGGGATGAAACCGGAGTTTAGGGAGGCTTCAGATTGAGGAACCACCTGACCGCGATAAGGCCCCAAGAGGATTGCATCGGCCTCATGCAGGCTGATGGCCTTGGTGTTGATCATGAACCGATTGGCCATCTCGGGATCACGCAGGCGAATGCGAACGAGGCTGCCTCGAGGGTAAAATTGGCCCTGGGGCTGCGGGCAGACGGCGTGAAACTTTCCACCAAAATCGATGTAGAGGTCCGTGTCGTTGGCGTTTTCGATGACTACACCGATTAGCTGGGGAAAAAAGGGCCAGACAGTAAGCTGAGCTGGCAAGTCGAACGGCTGCATATTGGTTTTTAGGTTGTTTGTCAACACCTACTAGATCTTATCTAGTCCGGGCTTTCCGCTCCGTCGGATGTTAAGAGGAGGGTCAAACTCAGGTGAACGTGGGTATAAGTAGTGAGGACTGAGAATTGCCACTGGTTACGGGCAGGTGTCTCGTCAAATATTTGGCGGGTAAGAGGACCTCCACTTCCTTCACCTGGAAGGCGAGATACGTAATGGTTAACCGGTGCCTAGCATAGATCAGAACCGTGCCATCGATTGGTTACCATGACCTCCAACCTTAGCAACGCCAAGATTGCCAACAGTACGGTCTGTAGAAAAGACAAGCCCTCACCCAAAGTGAACAGACGACTTGGTATAGTACGTAATTTTAACAAGTAGCAATTATTTTTACTTTTTAGCTACGAGGATGCAAGACGCCAAACGGTCGGACATACTCGAAACCATGTCTGACTGTGGCGAAATAACGTTTCGGCCATAGACGGCATAGAAAACTCTTGTTGAAAATATCGTCATTTACTGTGCAAAGAACTGAGAATTTTGAAAGCAGCAAAATACCATTTCAACGGTAGAGAGATGATTGATACCTCGCGTTGTTTGAAGTTCCCCAACTGCACAAAAGTGCTCTCACGAAACATCTTCGCGAAGGACTTTGCAGGCGAGTCGGATACAAACTTCTTGCACTTGACCTCCTTAAGAAAACGATTGGAAGTCCATGGAACCAGTCGGGGAGCAGAAATACGACGGCGCTTTGTGTCCGTCTAGGGGAGAGGGCAGTGAAATGGAATACCTTGAAACCACTCACTGAAATCAGCGACCACAGAGAGCTATTAAACAAAGCGGTAACTTTGGTGCGAGGGTCGGAGAGCAAAATACCTAGGCACAGAGCGGGATTCTTATCATTATTACATCCACAGGAGAATGAGCGTATGAAAAGACTTTGAGAGAATTGGCAAAGAAATTTCGGGGCGAAATGTCTTCGAGAACTTCTTTTGTAAAAAATGAACTTGAAGATTATAAGGTGGAACACACAAAAGAAAATTCTTCGAACCTGCAGCATCTGTTAGCAGGTTGAGAGTCGGAGGCGAGATCGAAACTTATCGCCAAATTTACGGTGACTGATAATGAGTCACGCTTGGGCACGAAAGGGCGAGAGCTTAACTGGGAAAGAGATGAGACAGGAATGCCTATGTTCTGATTTCCTTTCCATCAGCGACCAAACATAACCGAACCCCAGATCAGGAGAATCAACTGAGATTGTTGCCTCGGGTGGAACGGAAGGTGCGTACTCCGTCCGGTGATTAGGCCGGGTCGACGAGTGTCCCCCTCTCCCCGAGTAACTACACTTAACGACAAGTTCAGAAAATCTCCGATATGCGTTAGAATCGGTACTGTTATTGTTTGACCATTTAAAGCTGTTCCAGCCGGGCGTTGACTTAGGCGGACAGTGTTCTGAGTGCTAGTCTAACCAGCTGTATAAGCATTTTTTTCTAAGTCACGCCGCAAGTGGTGCAATTTTTGACGAAGTCAAGAGATTTTTTATTAACATACGGGGCCACAACAACCTTTCGACAGTTGCCGCCATTTCGTTTGACTATGCGACCCTCAGGGAGGTCATGAATTGTTTACGGCAGGCCGACAATTTCATTCACTTTTGAGATCTGCCTAGATTGCTGCGAATTTGAAAAAAGGACAAGTATTATGAAGAGGGCAGCATTTGCTTACGTCAACAATTCTCGAAAAGGCGTTTTAGTTGTTTTTTGTCACCTAAATGGGCAATAATAATAAGAGGAGGATGAGAAATGAAGAGGAGGAGGGGGGAAGACAAGCAAATAGCTCGTTTTGTATGGCATTTTTCCGATTACACGACATAAATCAGCGACCTATGAGCTAAAGCAGACAAACGATGTTGGACGGAATAGTACTGGGAGTTGAACTCCCCAGACCAGGTTTGTATCAACATACCGTTGTGTGCAGGCCCTGTGGGCTTTCAAAAACTTGTCACAAATGTTGTTATTTTCGTGGTTCATTTCCAACAGACCAAATGTACCGAAGATAGATACAGGTAGGTCTTTTTCAAATAGACAAACTGGGGCTACGAAGGAAGGAACGGTTATGAGCAGAACTCACCTCCTGGGCGTCAGCCTTCTTTGGTATGACAGGAACTTCCTGCGCCTCCACCTGTTTCGATCTGAATTCCGCCTCCGGCGGTGGTACTGCGGCCTGAACACTCTCCTTGGCTATCTGTTCCGCCTTTTCAAAGAAGCTAGTCAGTTTTTTAACATCGAGCCCAGTACCACCGTCCTTGTTGGCACCGTTTCCACCATTGTCTGTCGAAAGGAGTAAAACTTGAGGCTTTGGAAGACCGAAGAGGAGGTTCCGAGTTAGTTTCCGGCTGCGTGGTTAATAAAGGGTGATTCAGATTACAGGAGGTGTTTGACTTCAGTCGTCAATGATGGCATAAGCACAGTGGGCACGGCCTTTGCAATGATGATATAGGTGTTGCAGATTGTGAAACCGTGTTCTGAGAAAGACGATTACTCATCTTCGATTTTACCCACCAATGTTCATTTGGTGGATGTCCCGAAGATTGTCGAGGGATGTTATCAGCCGACCCAGACAGTTTCACGGAGGCAAATCAGCAACGATATTTAAACACTCGCTTCCGCAAAGGCTGTCTTCCGTCTTACATTCTCCCAACATAAAATGTCGACTCGATAGTCTCAGAGATTTTGCTATTAACAGGGGGTTCAGGTAGGTTTGGATGTTGCTGTCCCAGACGTCGATTATCTCAATAATATCATTCAAGTTGAGAAAACAAAGTCTGCTCTCAAGAATATGGTCGATGACAATTCATTCCCTTCCCTCTCATATCCATATTGACTTGAGCTGAACGGTAACAACAGCAGAATAAAAGAGGAATCATCTCATGGGCAAGCCATTAATTGTTAAGGGAAAAACTGTGACGACAAGGGAGTTCCGGTTTTCTATTAAATTTAGAGGCAGTCCCACACCCCCTTATTTTACCCGTTTTCGACACCCCGCTTCAATTTCGATATCTATTCCCGCGAAATCATCAATATCCGGGTATAAGGAGGTTTTTGTTACGAGACTGAAGGAAGCAACAGGCGTATAACTTCTAAGGAATAATCAATTTCTCGGCTATCGATATATAAATGCATGCAGAAAGATGAAATACCTCAGCATTTAGGCCGGTTTGTATTGAAAGTCTGACAGGTAGTACGGTAAAGGTCCGTATGACGTTCCAGAGAGATAAGCTGGCGTTTCAGGATCTATCAAACAGTGGATATTATTTTATGTATTCAGTAAAAGGAGCGAGACAGTATAATGGACAAGGTGAAATTGAACGTATAACAGGTGTTAATAAACCAACGCTAATAACAAACGATAATTATTGGTTTGGCAGGTGGCACGCACGCGCCTGCGCACCCCTAGATTTTGTATAGAATACATCCCTTCTGTCGATGCGTCCCTTCCCTTACTACTAGACAATTTGACCCTGGTGAGAACTGTTTGGCGCCCAATGTAGCAGCCGCAATGTCACACAGTCCGCAGCACTAGACTGAGCGTCATTTCACCAACAAGTGAAAATCTTTCTCAGAATCAACGCGTGCCACCCAAACTGCATGTGCAGTGGTCCGATAATCTCATACCTTGCTTCGCTGCGATCTTATTTTGTCCGATGTCAGGTGACAACGGCGGTTCCATGTAAACGTCCATCTTCCACTTGCGGTTAGTAACGCTTCACACAGAACTCACGACTAACATCGAACGCGCATGGAAATACTAGCTCGGTCGGCCGATCGCAATTGTTTGTGCATGATCTAAGCGTCCAACGTTAGCACGCTAGCTTTTTGTCGTGTACTAGCTCGCGTCTGCGCAAGCTTCACTGGCCTAGCAGATTCAGCATCAAACAGTCTTGTGCAGAATGTATCCCTGCTATGGGTGTCTTTTTCTCAATTTCGCTAATCGGGACCTGACCCTATGACTGCGATGGTTAAAATACCCCCATTATATTATGCGCCATAAATTGGTGACGCAGAGGCGAGAATTACAAATATCTGGTTGGTTTATAGTGAATTAAGCTAGCAAGGACTTACAATTTCTACCCATGGGAGGTGCTGCAGCGAGACTGTGAAAAGGCGAAATGTGAGCCGCGATTAACGCTCTTGCTTCCGCGATTTGTGTACGAGGTATTCACAGGTAACATTAAAATTAAAACATTTTTAGAATGTATTTAAAGGGCCCTTAGGTCGTAAAGCTGGAGTTTGACGGGTTTTACACGAAACGCTGTCCATCTCGACAATGAGACCTGGGGAGTGAATAGCATCGATAAAACACTAACCCTAACCGCGCAAACGGAACCGACAACAGCATCGAATGGATGTGTGCACGAGGAGTGAGTGGCCCTCGAAAACGACTCAGTCTATTAATTCAATTCTAAGCAAAGGCGTTTGGACATCAAGAAGACTAAATTGCACTATCTTCGAGTAGCCAGTCCTAAAAGTTATGATTAAAAGGGTCGTTTAAAACTACAACAGGTCAGCGAGACCCCATACATTAACACCACATATGTTTACATATACAATTTAAAAGACAGACAGCTGACTTCTGGGGACGAAAGTCAGATTGAAATTTTTTGTCTACCCCATCTCCAATCTCACTGTTGCAAGCAAACACGGGGCCAATTAGCCCCATGTGTTAACACATGGTAAATGGTTAAGGCAAACGACAATAATTACGAACAGGGACAAAAAGTGCAAACTAATCGAAAATTGAGTGTCAGCGCTATTCGCTGTGTGTTTAGTTTAGGAGGAAAACTGTTGCATGGAGGTCTTTGCCGAGAGGCGAAATGGGGGGGGCATAGGTGAAGAGCGGGCGTGACCAAAACGAGGCTCCCCAATCAGGCGCTACGGTGCAGAGCGCATATAAACAATGCGTGTCGCTCTCGGATGTCACGGGGTGATGTCACCGGTAGTACCTTCTGAGATTCATCCACAGCTAGGCCTGTGGCTGAAAAGTCCCAAGGTATTCTCACTCTAATCCGAGTTTATCGTCCGAGAATGCTACTGTGCGTTAGTTGGACCGATTTCTAAGGATTACGAAGACTAGTATGACCGCCTAAGACCCACTAGACAGGGAACAGACCAAATGGACTAGCCGTACGTTAACGAACTTTTTAGGAGCCTCTGATGACAGAGATGCAACATTTACGTAGGACGAAGCCTAACCGGTCTGCATTTCAGCATGCTGATATATGATACACGCAACAATGCAAAGCACCCCATGCTTCATGTAGTTCGGACGATAGATGTAAATTTCGAGGACCTCAAGTTTCCACCCGGTCATCAGCCGCAAAATGTCTATACACGAATATTAACCTTGTGGTGATTTACAAGTAGCTCGTCCACCTGTTGTCCCATTGCTTGGCCTTAAAATCATGTTCAGCCTCTTCTTTTTGCTGACGTATCCCAGAATTCTCGCTTGCAGGATGTTCGTTTTACTGGACGAAGGTGAAATCGGGCATTCTCGTTTTGGCTAAGTAGTATTTGTTGAGCCAGAAAAACTAGTCTCACGGTCATGCTTTCTCTCCACTAAGCACTTTTACGGTCCTAGACGTTCGATTTCATCTTGTCCACTTGGATTTAATTTGGCCATCACTTGAACGTCACATATATCCATACAGCATTGACTGTTCCACACGTTGGTCAGTTGCCATTCCAAACTTTGATACTTCAATAGGAAATGTCGCCAATGTCTTCCCGAATGGCTGGCTTTCCACATCTGGTGTGCTAGCCAAAATTACAGAACAACCACTGTATATTACTCTGTCTCCAGCGACCTCGTGGGGCGTCTGCACTGTTAGCCTACCCAAGTCCGACTCGTTAGAATGGCGACTTCCCTCTTGTGTTTCATGCATGTATGTATGTGTGTGTATTTGCAGGGTTGGGGTGTAAGGGTGTCCAGCGGTGGGTCCACGTGATGGTCGTAGTAGGTCGCTCACTTGCTTGCAGGTGCAGACTACACCTAGCCTCCATTTGCTGACATCCAACACTCGCCTGCGACTCCCAGAAGTTGGACTCTACCCAGCTGTCACACCTTGGTAACCGCCTCGACCGGCGAACTAAACCAGGTGAGGGTATCCGTGCGTGCGTCTGCGCGCAAAGTAATTTGGAATCCGGCGTCCGGATAGATCTTCGCGTCGGCATCGTCGAGACGAGGCTCCGTCTGGACCACCGCAGGAGGCGACAAGGTAAGTGAAACTTCGGGCAAGCGGATTTTGCTCTGTTTCTTTACTTGCCTGTTAGTGTTACATGCTGTGTGCTGCTCTCGCTATCTGCTCTGTGTCTGTTTGTCTGTGCTTCTCTCTACTAGTAGCTAGCTCTTATTGTGCTGGACTTCGTATGTTACCTTGCTTATTGCTGTCCCTGCCTGATGGCTCTGTCTGCTTGTCCATCCTAACCGTAAGTCTTATAGCGTTTTGTTAGTTGTATCTTCCCTCCTCCTTAGCCCCCACCCCCCCCCCCCCTAAAGGTCCCAGGTTCATTCGGGTAGTTCCCTCACTAACGCAAATCCATGGCTCATGGTCGAGTTTGGCAGCCGTCTGGGATAACAGGGCAGCCCTATTCTTATGGTGTACTGTCTGTCCCCGCGAGGACGAAGGGGCTAGAAAAGGTGCCTTAAAAATTGTTAGGAACCACGCGGTCTGTATGCTGGCCGTGTCCGCAGGCAAAAAACACATGGTTGAAACAGCCAAAACTGAAACAACACCCATCTCCCTCTTCCTCTTCCTGCCTATTCTTCTTCTTCTCTCGCTCCTCCTCCTCCTCCTCCTCCTCCTTGCCGCCTCAATCGGCAGACTGGTAGGATGAGTACGCTCACTCTTGCAGCCTGGAATTTTTTCACCCTTTTAGACAGTCCGTCGAGAAACCGACCGGAACGGAAGGATAGTGCTAGTGGCCCGAGAACTGGTGTGCTATAAGGAGGATTTTGCTGCACTCAACGAGACCCGCTTCTCCGAACAAGGTCAATTGGAGGAGGTGGGCGCCGGCTACACCTTCTTCTGGAGCGGTCGCTCCAGGGCAGAGCGGCGGGACGCGGATGTCGCTTTCGCCATCCGAAACGACATCGTGGGACGACTGCCCTGCGTGCCGCAGGGCATCAACGATTGCCTGATGAGTCCTCGCAAGCCTCTCTGGGGAGGCAAGTTTACCACTATCATCAACGTTAACGGTCGACTGATGACCAGCCCTGACGACGCAAGCGGCAAATTCTAAGAGGACCTGCACGCCTCCCCCCTGAGGACTGTGTCGAAGGCGAACAAGTTGATTGTCCTTGGTGACCTCAACACCCGCGTCGAAACAGACCATGCTGCCTGCAGAGGAGTGCTAGGTTCCCATGGTCTCTGCGGCTCGAACGACAATTGTCTGCTTCTTCTCCGCACCTGCGCAGAACAACGCCTCATCCTGACGAACACCTTCTTCTGCCTACCGATGCTAAAGAAGTCCACCTGGATGCATGCTCGGTCGCGTCAATGGCACCTGCTGGACTATGTCCTTATCCGAATGCGAGATCAGCGAGACGTGCTGGTGACAAAGGCGATTCCGGATGCCGATGGGCGGACCGACAATCTCAGGTTAGCAAAAGTAAGAGATCCGGGTCGGTAATCTGAGGAGAATGAATTGCTCAGCCAGAAGAGTCCCCCGATCCGGTGAGCAATTCATTCTCCTCAGAGGACTGACAATCGCCTCGTCATCTCGAAGATGCGTATTCGCCTACAGCCTCGCAGGAGACCACAAGGTAAGCAACCCCCGGGTAAGCTGGATATTGCTTTGTTGTCTTCGCCTGCTCACCACCTCCATTTCAGCAACGAGCTGCCTAAACGGCTAGGAAACCTTACAGTCGCCGTCGCCGCCGCTGACGAGAACGCCTCCATGGAGAACCGATTACGTCAACAGCGGGACACAGTCCAGTCGACGGCGCTAGCCGTCCTCGGTCGCGCACGCCGCCAACACCAGGAATGGTTTGACGACAACGACGCCGTCATCAGCAACCTGCTCGCCGAACAGAACCGCCTACACAGTCTACGCCGACCGTCCCACCGACGAAAACCGAGGTACTTTCTATCCCAGTCGTCGCCCCATTCAACAGCGACTGCGCGAGATTCAGGACGCTTGAACGACTCGCAAGGCCAAGGAGATCCAAGGGTTCGCGGACCGCAACGAGTGGAAGAACTTCTCCTCCACGATCAAAGCTGTCTACGGTTCGCCAACCATAGGCAGTGCTGCTCTCCTCATCGCCGACGGCAGTACCCTCCTCACTGAGAAGCCACAAATTCGACAGCGATGGGTAAAGCATTTCCAGGGCGTCCTCAACCGTTCCTCTAGCATCTCCGACGCCGCAACCGCCCATCTGCCGCAAGTGGAGATCAATGTGAACTTTCTCCTCCTACGCCTCCGCTGCCACATGCAGGCCGGTCCTGCCCGCTTTTTATCCTTTCATGAGCGACAGCATTTTTTCCCTAATAGTACTAATCCAGTCATATTCATTTGTTTATTTTTTAGGAGTTTTATTCACCTCACGCTCATCATTCTTCGCAACAGACTACTGATTAAATAACTATGAATCAAGTATTGTACAGATCCCGTCTACCAGTTGTACTACCACTTCTCCATAGTTGTGGATGTGGTTTTACTTTCCGCTTGCTTGTTGCCCCACTCGAAGCCCGTCAATTTTTAGGGTTAAGCGAAGCGCACAAGTTCTTAAGTTTCATTAAGCGTTCCCAAAATCCTTAAAGAAATGCGCCGTGCTATTCTGGAGTCCCCTGTTTTTAAAATGAGGTCACCGATCAAGAATCTTTCTCCGCTGACGAATGCATATGGATTTAACTCTTGGGCCCCTGTCTTTTTTGTCAAGCACACCAGCCATTGTCTTAAGTTTGCTTTCTTTGCCAATAACTACAGAAAGGTAGTCTGCTATGCCGTAATCTGTGGGTTTGTATTAGTCTTTGTAGATGCACATTTCTATGCCTTCCTCATACGTCAGTGGGTAACGTTCATTGACTGAAAACGTTGATGGGGTGTAGGAGAGTACGAGTACGAGAGAAAACAAACAACAGAAAGTCATTATTTTTGATTTTAATTTTTAACTGTCGTGGCTGACGAGAGCGCCGCTTATATCCTCGCCACCGTGCGCCAACTCCCCCACCAAACCTCCCGCACACCCGCCGTGTTGAGGACGCAGCACTCATCCCACTTAGTTAGACGTTTCTGATCAAGCAAAATTTATCGTTACGGTCGAACTACTTTGCCATACTGTTAATTTCTGTTTTTTTTAAAAAAACACAACGTTCTGCCTTTTCTTCTACTATATTCTCTGCACTAATTCATCTTATGAACGGCGATCTGGAGTTCCTCTTGTTCAGAAGTTCCCCTACGAGAAATCACAGGAAACCCGTCACAGATTATGGAGTACGATCTACTAGCAACGGTATGTGTTCCCTTAGGCAGACCGAGAATAAGGTGAGTTTCCTGAGTAAACAAACTGTTGGGTCTCGAATCCTATCCTAACCAATGATTTTGCAGGGGAAAACGCGCTTAGTTAGACTCCGCGTCGTTAATTTTGTAATCATGTAACGCCCCTGGACTTGTACAGAGTTGTTTGAATGAGGTGACACTTTTCCGCGCGAGGACCTAGGGTGGAGATGGCGTAGTCGCATGTCGGTGAAGATAACCGGTGTCCCTCACCCTCTCATCTGCCGATTCCTTTCCCCCTCGTCGTAACGTAACGTACCGTCCGAACCGCTCGCTTCCTCGCTACATCGGCACTCCCTCGGCCCTTCCCTGCAGTTGCCCCCAGCGCTGCGCTCCCCACCGGTTTACTAGCTGGCATGTGGCATCGTCTCTCCACCCAGACAGGTCATTCTACCGTTGTAACCATCCTACCTGTATTATTAACGATTATTATACGTTTCTCGTGCAACCTCGTCATATTACACCTTATCTCTTATTCGACATGTCTTCTTCTTCTGTGTATGGATGTGTATCAAGGAATGCTAACAGATCCGTTCAGGTCTATCCCGGCCAAGATCTCTTTTCGGCGTTTCCTTACTCCGGTGTGTGCTACCCTTGACGTCCTCGGCCGCTACAATCATGTCAGCGTCGGAAGTTAGGCCACAGATGGTTTGTTGACTTGCGCATAAAACTTATTTTTAGACTACCGAAGAGGAGCAAGAGCTGAAGTTTAAGTCCAAGTATCCCGGCTTAGCGCAGAAGGGTGCTGGATCGTTATTACTACAGAAACGACTTAACCGCGGTGTAAGATTAATTTTAATCATTTGTAACAAGGTGTAGTTGTATTCGCGCTCTCTCGTATTGTTTCAGTTTTATTGATTTTTTTTGGGTGATGGTTACCGTGTGTCTTGGTGTCGCTAAATGTTATTCACAGCCATATGTGTGCGGTTATCTTCCCCCACCTTCATCTAATCGTGTCTTAAGTGGCGTTTGCGTCTACAGTGTTGATGGATAGGCAGTGAGTCCTGTTTTTCGGAAACCGACCCGGCGGATAGCCTATGTCTCGGTTTTCTGTGGTCTGACACAGTTTTCGCCCTTTGTTTCGTATCGTTTCAACGGTGGTATTGCATTATTCATAGGTTGATTTAAACGTCTGGGTGCCCAACGGCGGGGTTGCTCTGGGCGACAGAACGAAGTGTGCTTTAGCTTTGACAGCCCCTCTAATAGGCACGATTAGTCATCTTGGACGCGTCGTCACCGTTAATATGCAAATGCACGTACACTCTGAGCCAAGATAGACGATTTAAACGTACAAGTTTGTTTTCGTCTTTTGACCAGTCATGCATCTTTCCATACCATTGTCTTCCTGTTGAATTGGCCTGCCTGTAATCCTTACTGCAGTGAAGTTAATTTCGAGAAGTTTTAATTCTCAAGTGCTGCTGGATGTCTTATCTGGACTGAATGTTGCTTCCCTGCTTTTAGTGCTCTTGTACTTCAACTCGTAAGCAGTTCCTTTCTCAGTTACCAGCAACAGCCCCGCCAAACTCTCCGATTTTAAAATCAAAAAACACCTTTGTACATTTTGCAGTCGAGGCATTGTCACGAAAAGACCAAACGTATGTAGGCTTTCAACTTCTTATAAGCGAAGCCTGAGGAATTATCTAACATAGATCGGTCCTTCAAATGTCAGCGGAAGGCATGCGAGCTGTTGCTTCCGTGACTCGAATGACAAGCGAACCATAATTATTTGATCGCGACCTCCTTGAATGTTAAGTATCGCGTCGTTGTCTCCACATGTCAGCTTCTAACAGGAACATTAAAACTCATCGTCACTTTTTCGGAAACCTTCGAGCTAGTTGTCTTTTTCTTTCTTACCTAGAGCTTTATGCGTCTCTTAAGGAAGAGTCGCCTCACACCCAACTCTACAATCTTAATGCCCTTGTGTCTTGTTTATTTCCACCTATTACTTATTCTGCTTTTCAAATGCTATGCAGACCTTTATTGGTTCATGGCTAAAGATGAGGAAAAATATTTTCTAGCACAAATTCTTTGACTCCGGTGATTACAACGTGGCTCGGGCGAAGATTTCACAGCAAAGGAGCACTCCAGCTCAGGCTCGAACAGACGAAGAAATGTTACACGAGTCGACGGGTGAAGTCATTGCGACCCCGGAGAGCGTTCCAGCTGTAAGAAAGAAATCTATGGTTGGGGAGGCTGCTGCAGAACTACTCGGTCCCTCACAGCCCCTCTTAGTGTCCCCTCGTGCTAGCCAAGTGCTTTCATCTGCTACAACTCGTATGGATAAGAACTCCACCCTTTCTCACTCGTAACAGTAGTGCCATTGTCCTCTTTCTGTCCACGAGGCATCCCTCCCGAAATTCCTAGACGCAGACTACTTCCACTTGTCCACATTTCCCCCCCTCGCCATCGCTACTTGTCAGGTGGACTTTCCTAAGTGCATTTATTTGTTGTCATCGACTTTCACGTTCGTTAACAGTTTTGTTCATCAGAAAAGAGGCTTGGACATCCTCTGACTTCCGATGCCTTTGGCATGACTTCGGTTCTGGTGTCATATTTTTCTTCACATTTGGACTTTTTACAAAAATAAATTTTTCCCTCAATTTTTTGGGGAGTACTCCTTTTCTAATCGCCTTACTTCCCAGTCGAGTACTGATTCGACATCCCGTCCATCGTTCTTTTTTTTAGACAGAAGTGCACCCTTGAGTAGCCTACTCAACGGCAAGAGATTTAGATTCATAGCTTTTCGCCAAAACCGAGCTTTTAGTCCACACATATTGCCGTATCCCGACTATAATGCGTCTCTTCTGGATAACGTGAGACGGTAGGTAAAGCTGCTTGACTTGAATTTGACTGGAGTCAAACAGCCCAAGTGAGACATGTCAGTTCGCAGAAGTAAGAGTATGACGACTCGCTGTTGTGTTTAATCGGTCTAAGTTACTGTTTTGCGCTCCTCTCATTGCAGCTTGTGTTTTCTAACCTTCGACATCGTTTTCCTCATACCTATCGTCATTTCATTCCTTCCTGCTGCATGAGGTCGCAGCTTTGGCCTAAAGGCTTCGACTATAGTAGGGAGGATTTATTCCTGTTATAAGTGCCTTGCTTTTTCCCAGCAAAAATTGATTTTGCTTCTACCCACCATCATAAGTGACATGCTTTGGCTAAAAAGTACGCACTGATCTTCGTGATAGTTATATCTAGTGTCCGTTATCCAAGCCTTCAGGATTTTTGAGGATGGGCTCTGTACTCCGGCACGATTGATACTGCGGTCGCACCCAATGTAACTTTTGTTTGGCAGTGAGCTGCTCACCTAACAAAACTGCCCATTATTCGAAGCATTCATTACTGACACTGAAAGCAGAGCTCAAAGAAGGCTCGACTGGTCGAATAGCCCGGCCGCCGCAAACGACGAGGTCCGCTGCTGCCCTGAAGAGGAAGTGGTGGTGACTTCACATAAATAGGTTTGCAGTTGTGGGGGAGGGGGCGAGTTTCGCAGCACCTCCTGTGCTGTCCACACACTTACCGTGTTTCAATCCGAAGACGAAGTCAGGTCGACCGGAGATGGACGTGAGTGTAGCGACTGAAGGGGTTGAGAACGCGTCTACGCGTACTACTCGTGTGTCGATTTCGGCTTCACGCGAATCATTCTTAAGTGAAGGGTGCCATAAGGACCCCACTATTATAGAACCAATGCAGTGTTGTTGTCAGTCGTGAGTAAGCTGAATTACCCTGCTCGGTTGGGGACATCCCAAGCCACGACTTTTTTTTACGTCCTTGTAATTTCAGGGCGCGTTTGGTTCTAAGGTGGAGACTGAATGCTGGACCACCTTCCTCTCCCGCTAACCCGCGCGAGCAACAGGAAACATTGACCGTAGCGGTTCTCTCAGTAAGTTTCCGGAAAGTGGACTAGTGAGTTTAGCTCTTTGGCTTCATTCCCTAGTCGGGGATTTAGTCAATTTCCCGCTAATTGCTTTCGTGTATTTGTTCTTTTTATCCAAACACAATGCATATTAATTTGACGGCCCAACTACTCCCTTCTTTATTCTACAAATAAATAGCCTCTCAAACCGGTCATACCGACAGATTAATGCGGCGTCTGGGACTGTTGTGGAATGGCGCATCGTTTTGAACTGTGTCTTAGTTATGCTGCGACACCTATTGACTCGCTTTGCACAACAGGGCGGACATATCCCGTAACCTGGTTGGTTAACACAATCCCAAAATGTTTGATATTTCCGATCGCAACCGTCAGAACAACGGGCTCGTGGCCAAATAGTAGAGCGCTCGACTTTATGATCAAAGATTCCGAGTTCAAGTTTCAGGTGCTCCAAATCCGGAGCTGGGTATGGCTGGCCGATGACGACTAATAGGCCAGAAATGGCCGCTCCAGTCTCTGTATCTATCGGTATTCCCTTCAGGGTACTCTTTTTCGCACTAACGAATACAGGTTATCACATTCAAGTTCGGTTGGTACTTCTGAATGTGGGCCACCCCGCATATTCAAGACTCATTGTTTTTGCGAACCATGAAAGGTTGTCATGTCCATGTCTCGAAGGGCTGTGGAATGGGCCCTTAGCTATAGTGGTCACCGTTTGCACACCCACAAGTCCGAACGAGGCTTTCTTTCAGATCAAAAATACTACTAAACCCAGGTTTGAGAACTATTTAACATAACAAAATCCTAAGTCGACTTATGCACGATAGCATTCGGGCTTTGGATTGAACATCTTCCCGACTTATTAGTGATTTACGCTCTGGTCATGATGCTGCTTAATTAGGGTATATTTCTTATTGATCCTCCATCCTTGCGTTTATGTATATACATGCGATTGAAGCTACAGACAGAGTCCTCGATTGCCCTGTCAAGACACAGCTTCACCGTAAGCATTCGAAGCGTGACCAGAGACATTTCGCAGGGTACAGTGCAATGATGCAACGCCGGAGGGGTGTGCATTAGAAACGGAATTTTCCAGTTGGTTGTGCGTAGTCGTGTTGTTGAGGCCAGTGTTTACCAGAAATGACTCCGTTCATTTGCATTACAAAAACAGTCCTGCCATCGACAATCACCATCTCGCGCAGGTGGGGTTTACGTGGTTGGTCTACCCGTTGTCAGAAGTGATCGTTTCGCTTGTATCGACAGGGCTGTTTCCGTTAGCCTGGGCACGTGCGTTCGCGCTTGACCTCGCACAGATGACCGCGCGGGGTTGGATCTTGTCTGCAAGCTGCAATAAGTCTTCAAATTTTCTACCTGCAGCGAATATGGGCTGTTCGGAGCGGGTTGCATTTTGGTTGTCTGCAAGAGGGAAAAAAAGACCAAACTTGGTCGAATTTTTTGGGTATTACAAGTTCTGAAAACAATCTTCGCCGCCTGTCGTTGCACCTGCTTGGCGCGGTCGATATCGCTCTTTATTCGTGATGTCCAAGCCAGCATTTAACACGTTGTGTCTACTGAATATGCTAAAGGTCTACGTGAAGAGTTTTAGCGGACGAATACTGAAAGCACGTCTGATTCAGTACATGGTATTGCCTTCTAGCCCACCTTGGTCAGATGTGGTTATGTAGCCCCACCTGAGGTAAACAAAACTCAGCCACCTGCAATACGGGACAGGTGGTAATAGGGGTGTTTACAGGTGGGACGGGGAAACGCACAGGTGACGAGGTCAAGTAGTTGTATGCGGAATAAAAGCTATTGGGAACGCGCGGTCGTGCTTTGAGTGGTTGAGAAATAGTTGTCCTAACCTCTAACCCCAATCCCTACAGTATTGTATCCATCAGCTGGGACTACATAACTACCTCTTACCCCACCGTTTTCATTACCCAGTTGGGATCAAGTTCACAGTTATTCAAAGACCGAGATCCGTGTGTGCCCCCGCACATTTTGACGGAATTCCAGTAATGCAGTTCATTTGCGTTGAAAGCCACCTTCGATCTGCGTTCGGGCACTATAGGTTACTAGGCACATGACTGACTAAACATTTTATCAACGCTCTCCTGTTCTTGCTCTAAATCCTCAATTATTCTGATTATTACGCAGATTTAAGTGTCACCAGCGAAGCCTATCACATCACAGTCAAACTCCGTAGCATATTCGTCTATTTGAATGAGAGAGCGCGGGTGGACCAGCTGAAAACCCAGTGGGAGATCGCTTTCTTCTGGTACCCATTCATGCACTGCACTGCCGACTGCAATAACTATGCGAAGTATCCATGTGACAACCAGTTCTTCACCCGTTTGAAGATGCTGTGGTATGAGATCACTCAGATTTACTGAGACGGAAGCAGAAAATGTGTCTCCTTTAGGACGAGTCCACTGACTGCAGACCAAGTAGTTTCGTTTCCGGTGACGCTAATCTTCGCACCGGTCTCAGCACCGCTGCACGCATGGTCGGCGAGTCTGACCTCGTCGTGACTGTGTTGGCGGCGGGAAGTGCGATCTGCAACTCATAGCTGGCAAGAGCATGTTTTACTATAGCCAAGCTTACCTGCTGACCTTTATGACTAGATGGAATCTGACTAGATCAACTGCGTTTTGACCATCTGTCGATCAGATCCGCTCAGTTCACGATCACCGCACTCTAAGAGCGACCGGAAATTGAATCACTCACCGCTTAGATGGTGTCTTCATCCTTGCCCGTTTACTTATCATTGACACATACCCTATATCTCAGAAGTGTTCCCACATGAGTTACGCACTGGCACTAATTTTCTATTGCCGTCTGCTTTTCAATATTCATCGTTGCACTAGCTTGGCGTCTAACGGCTCCTTTTGGATAAAAATTAGATAGGTTGTCCTCGACGCTTCCAATGGGGCAACGGTGCCGGATCGAGGGCAGTAACACTGAGTTCCTGAGGTGTACGACGGAGAACATGCCCGAACCACCTCAGTTGAGACGCACTGCGGTGAAATGGAAGACAAGGTTGCTGAATTACAATATCTTCGACGGGTAATGAGAGCCAATGGTTACCCGCGCAACTTTGTCAACCAGTGCATACGAAAAGGACACCAGAGACCAAATCCAACCGACCCCAAATTTTGGCGGGCTCTTCCGTACGTGAAGAACGTCTCGGTAACCGTCAGTCGTCTTCTCACTCCACTTGGAGTTGGGGTTGCACACAGGCCGGAAGCAACCATTAGGCGCCAAGTCATGAGGCCAAAAGACCCGCTGCCACGGCAGGAAACGTCTGGAGTCGTTTACCGGATTTGGTGTAGTTGCGGACAAAGCAAATATGTTTGAGAAACTGGCAGATTACTTCGTACGCGAATTGCCGAGCACGCAGCAGCAGTGAGGCGGGAGGACGCTAGCTCTCAGGTGGCGGCACATTCGACGGGACCCGGCCATATTTTCAAATTTCAAGGGGCCGAAATCCTCGCAAGGGGCGACAACCTCGTGAGCCGCGAGCCGCTCGAGTCATGGTTCTCAGGCCCACAATCCATCAACAAGCACAAGGACCTCCCGGTACCATATTCCGTGCTGAGATTTTCCGTGGGCAGGGGAATCAGCCACGTGGGGAGGGCGCGGGCGAGCAATTATACCAGTGACAGTGAGCCAATTTGCCGAGCAATCGCCACACCAGCATCCAGCACGGATGGCGAAATCACGGCCATTAACGACTCGGACTCGGACTGACAAGCCACCACCGCATCGATTACGACCCCAACGGTGGTTGCGAGAGCTGTTAATTGCAGTGTGCAAACGGTCCCACGGCATCCACGTGCTATAAATACTGCACTCCCGGTGCCACCATCACCTTTATCTGCAAATGTCTCTGATGATAGATTCGAGTGAGAATCCGAAACGTCAGGCCAATAAATTTCTTGTTTCATTGATCGCATTTTCGTCTTCTGAACTGCTATCTGGGACTCGCCTGTTCGCTTCTATCATCAGTCGTCTTTCTTGGATGGCCTGAGTTATCCTTGCGATGTTGTCACAGCGCGCGCGAACTATCTCATTTGAGGCGAGGTCGGTGAACTTCACTCGAAGGATGGTCCTCAAGCAGTGGTGGTCAAATACCGCCAGTTTTCGCTCGTCCTCCACGCGCAAAGCCCAGCATTCACAACCGTAGAGAAGGACAGACCGGACAGATGCACGGTACACGCGAATCTTCGTGGCGATGGAGAAGTCACGTCGGATCCATAGGCATTTTCAAAGGCTTGAGAAAACCCAGCGGGCAGCATCAATTCGGGAGACGATGCCGTCCTTACTCTGTCCATTAGGCAGCAGCCTCGCCCCGAGGTATTTGGAATTGTCTACTTCTTCAATTCCGAGGGGCACCTTCTCCTGGTCAGGGATGCAGCTTGGGAACACTTTGGTCTTCCCAGCGTTTATGAACAAACCGACCGATTTAGCGATCGTTCACCCGCGACACCATAGACTGCAGATCATCAAAACTTAAAGCAAGTAGGGCAATATCATCGGCATAGTCAAGATCAGTCAGTCGGTGTCCGGGTGCAAACTCAACACAGTCACCTTCATATAGGACCCTCCTGAGAATCCAGCCACTAGCATAGTTGAACAAAATGGGCGACAGGATACAACCCTGTCGAGCGCCAGACCGAATACCAAACGGTTGGGAAAGATTGTTGCTGACCAGGACTCTCGCTGTAGTGGAGCGATAATAGGTCCTGATAATTGCGATGATTTTTGCCGGTACACCATCTAGCGCCATTATCCGCCACAGGGACTCACGATGAACGGAATCGAACGCGGCGGCAAAGTCAATGAAGCCGACGGCCGTCGGTTGTTGGTAGGTATGGCGAAATTCGAGAATGCGCCTCAGTGTGAATATCTGGTCCGCACACCCAAGTTCAGCACAAAATCCGGCTCAGCTGGGCCTCGTCCTTGAGTCACGCGCAGCCTGGGATCGCCTGAGTAGGGCAATAGCGAAGATCCTCGCATCAACGTCGATGAGGCTTGTGCCGCGATGGTTCTCGCATCTCGTCTTATCTCCCTTCTTGAGGATAGGTACAAGGATGCCTAAGCCCCAGTCATCAGGAACAACCTCGTCTCTCCACGCTCGTTCAATCACCTCATGGAGCCAAGGCGCCAGAATGTCCACACAAGACTTGTAGCCTTCAGCAGGTATATTGTCCTCTCCGGGTGCCTTATTGTTGCGTAACTTTCGTATGGCATCGACGCCTTCTCCTCCAGAGGGCGGGGGGGGGGGTCGCATGGTACTGCATAGGTGGGAGAGGGAAGAAAATACGCTGAAGAGGAGAGCAAGGGCGAGGTAGGTTGGGTATAGAAGTTGAGATGATGCTCGAAGTGCTCACGCCAGCGTTCGACTTTGGCCGAGTTGTCAACAATAAAGCCGCCATTCACGTCTTGAACAGAGTCAGTCAGTGTCGAGAACTTACCATTAACTTGGCGGATAAGTTGGTAGAGTTTTCGAGTGTCACCAACGTTCGAGGGCTGTTCCATGGAGGTCGCAATTTCAGCCCAATATTGCTTCAGATCATCCCTGGTTGACTTTGCCGTCATCTTTCGAAGTTGACGGAAATAATCCTTATTACGGGACCTGGCTCGAGCCGTCTGAGCAGACAACTGCAGGGTTCTCCCGCTGATCAAGTCACTGCGGCGTCGCTGGGTATATCCAAGGATTTTCTCAGCTGTCCCATAGACTGCCATTTTCAGTGACGACCACTGGTTACTGCCTTCTCCGTCGGCTCGGGTCGTAAAACAGGACCGGATTTCTCTGCTCAGGGCCCCGGCAGTGCTGGTTTGCCGGATTTTTGCGACATCGAGGCGTATAGGATGTGAAATTTTTGGCGCGGATGTGAGATGAACTTTCAAGCGTGTACGGACGAGTGCATGGTCCGACCCATGGGCGTTACCACTCTCGGCACCACCCATCGATCTGCTATTGTGAACCCAGCTGCGGAATCTTGAGCTGACTAGTATGTAATCAGTCTGACTGGCCGTATGGCCGTCGTTTGAATACCAGGTCAGTAGATGTTTTTTGCGATGCTGGAAACATGTGTTGGGAACAAGCAGTTGGTTTCGATCGGCGAAATTCAGCAATCTCTCACCATTTTCACATCGGGAACCAAGCCCAAAGCGGCCAAGAAGATGACTGGTTGTGGGGTCGCCAGGTCCAGTTTGACCATTCCAATCGCCAGCAACAATCAGAAGATCGTGGCGAGGCAGTCTTTCAAATAACGCTTGCAACTGCGAGAAAAACCCCTCTTTATCTGGCTGTTCGGCAGCCAAAGTTGGTGCGTACACAGACGATTGAGATGTTCGTGAAGTGACCCTTCAGTCGCACGTAGGCCAACCGGTCATTGACTGGTTCCCAAGTAAGTAGCTCGAGGTCCGCTTGTTGCGATGGGACGATCGCCACACCGTGTCGACCAGAAGAGTCGCGTTGACCGCTGTGGTACAGGGTGAAGTGTGATTTGACTCCAGGGATCTTTATTTCGCGGGAGCCTGAGTCAGGAAGTCGAACTTTAGACAGATAGCAGACATCTGCATTGTACTGATCAAGGCTGCGCGCGGTCAGACTTTGGGTACCGGGGTCCAGGAACGTTCGACATTCCAGCATCCATTACCAAGAGTCCGTCCCCGATTTAGTAATCCAGCTCGCATACTATTCACCCACACCACTGGACCAGGGTTACGGAGCGCGTCGGTTCCCGCGGACACCGTAGCATGGGTCGTAATACTCTGATCGGACATATTTCATGAGGTTTCTTGGGGATTTCGAATACGGGCGGGTCCCCAACAGCCGTTCGGATTGTTTGTTCAAGGTTGTCTCCTCTAGCGCTTTGGCTTAAAAGCCTAACCACAAGGCAGCGGCAACAAGCGAACTTATTTAATGGCGGTTTACGGTCGCCATGTCACAATGCCGTCCTTGGGTTTTGCAGCTTTTTATAAGGCTTTCAGCGTGCCAGACCTCAGCCCACCGCACCCTGGTAGCAAGAAAATAACGCAAACGGTTTTGGTGTTGTTCCAAATCAGCGGGCTTGGTCGTTAATTAGGTCATTATCTTCCTGATCTTCCGGGTCCAACAATTACACCAACTCTCCTCATGCTGTCTTTCATAGGGATTGTTCGTAATTGTTGAGGGGGCCAGCTGTTTCCTCCCAATTTTGAAAGACATTTAGTGGAATTGCCAAAGGTGGAATCGGTTCGATTTATTGAGTCTCAGACTCACCCAGCAATCGAGGAGTGTTAGAGACGAGAATGAGAGGGATGTCCGTGGCCGTTTCCAGCCTATTAGCCGTCATCAGCCAACCGTGTTCCAACCACAGGCAGGCACCAGGAATGTCGACTCGAGGTCATCTTAGTTCTACAATCAACGCAGATAAGTCAGCCTCACTCCCCTAGCAGGGTTTAGTCTCCGCCCCTTGGGTCGGTGTTGATGTCCATGACACCGTAGGAAGTGCTGACTGCTGGACGGACTGGCACATGATAAAACCCACCGAGGAGGCTACGATGCAGTCTCACGGCCAGTGCTCCGCTTCGGCCCGTCTTCTCAATATGGAGCACGATCACATAAGGATTGACAGACCGGCCTTTCCAGAAACCAAGGTTACTTATTACAGACTCGCAAATAACCGTTAACTCAGCCGAACAGTTCATGAACCAAGTCGGGAACAGTGCAACTGAGCCATATGCGAGGGTGGTGTCATTTGATCTCGCCCCCCTCTCCCCCGCGGCACCCCTCTCTCACCACATTCCCGCAGCGGAAACAGCCATTAACATGCTGTATGTTAGGGAGAGATGTTCAGTGGACAACTGAAGAACTTGTATATTTTTGGAAAACTGGCTTGTGCCCTACTCTACCTTTGATGGGGTCGTTTATTAATAAGTCAAGACACGCATTTAGGCTCGCAAATATATGGTCTGATTGCAGAAAGTGGTCCCGAACAGCTTCAAGTAAGAATGTTCATCATACAACAAACTCATTTTTTAGGCGTCCCATGTCATTGACAGATTCATCGTCGACCGAGGTAAGGCCAGTTTCCTTAAGGAACTACCGAACTCAGTCTCCCCGGATATACGATGCACGGAGAAGGAGGAGGAGGATCGAATTTCCATGCACGCTCTCGTGTTTCAGGCGTCTTCGAATGTTCACTTGTCGAACATGTTTGCACCTTCCCTACTATTTTAAACCGGTGAATGTCTGTGCCGTGTGGGGTGGGGGAGCGTTTATACGCTAGCCCCGGTTACATCAGGTACCAGTTCACACGCGCTCCCCTATGTGTGCTTCGAGCCCTGCTTGCGCTCTCTTTATTATCTCAATCTCGTTTGTCAGCAGCCAATTTAGAAAAGGCCTCCTTACCGGACAACGATCTTATGCGTGGTTTTTGGAAAATATGCCACGATTTGCAAGAATAGCCTAAATCAACGGGAAAAAGTCATGATATCTAAGTAATCATTTTTGCCGAGTGCGATTTTCGCAGGCGGCGACCGGCATCTTGGCGCGACTGAAATACCTTGGGGTTATGCTGTATGCAAATAAATACCGCAACACAACCCGGGTAATCCCTTCTACCCGAGGTCGTATTTCGGAATTTCGATTAACGTTCCAAAGTCGAAGGTGTCTGCTAGCCCCGGGAAGGGAGCTGAACATCGTTCAGAAGGGGGAGGGGTGGGCACACGATCCCCGACCCCGACAGCAGACACGAGGCGGTATGCCGTGGGAACGTTCGATCCTACCTGCAGCTGGCAGTGAGACGTGGATTTCCCCGCAGGCAGTATTGACTAACTAAGCCTCGGGTTTGGTTGAGCATGCTATCTGTGCAGAAGGTACTTCCCCAAACGTCAGGCATCTACATACCCCTCCAGGTGAACGATCTTCACCGTCGATGTGAGCTGTCCTTTGTGGCCCATCTCCTAACTGAGTGATAGTCCGGTTAGGTGTTCTGGTACGAGCAGATCCGATCAGGTCCCATGATAGTTCACCGCGCCCAATTGCAATACATTCACATTTATCTTGATCCAGTTTTGCCATGGGCACCTGGTAGAACATGCGAGACGGGAAACTTCACGGGTCCTTCCTCACAACGTCACAATTTTCGTGCGACCAAACCCGTAGTTGCAACGTTGGAGGGTGTAAGTCAGCGAGATAGGCGATCAGTTGACGATGATCAGATTGCGATGGCTTGTGGTGAGGTACCTGACTAATTTACCTTTGACAATTTAGTCCCATTTCCTTTGACCGCATTGCTTGTTTGAATGTGACGAGAAACGACACACCTGTACAACCCGCCTTGCTAGCGTGCTCTGCTGTGGTATTCTGTTGTCAGTTTTCTTAACGTTCAAAAACCTCTATATTATTCACTGCTCCGATTTACTTGCTGCATTTAAGGCTAGGGACTCGTGAGATATAACTCGTTATTTCGTGGGAACATTACGATTTGCGACAGGCTCCCTGATGTGATTTTCAGAGGTGAAGTGCGCACCCAACCCACCGTAGTCCAATTCCGGCGCGCTTGTCATCATCATCATCATCATCATCATCATCATCATCATCATCATCATCATCATCGCCGCCGCCGCCGCCGCCGCCACCACCACCATCATCATCAGCAACAGTAACAGCGCCATCATCGTCGTCGATGTTGTGCTCTAGGGGCTCGTTGGCTAATTAGGAACTCCATCTATACCAGAAGTAATTTGCAATGACTTCTCAGAGACGTTTTAATGTCCTGCTCGACCAAAAACCTGTGGCGCGGCGGCAGGAGCAAAGTCCATTTGACTATCAACTCATCTTTGTTACTTGAGCGCGGTGGGATTGAGAAAAAGGCCAGAAAGGACCATGTTGCACAGGTTTATCTCACTAGCATTCGCTTGACCCAAAAATCGTCTTCGCTGATGAGGATGGTTCTGGTCGAAATCACCAGTCGGTAATTGTGGTGTCGGTGTTTTAATAACCAGTCGATCTCTATTGGGGCAACACCCCGTGTGTGGGCCTGTTTGTGTTTCTGGTCCCAGCTGATAGTCAGGTTTATGATTGACTAAATGAAAGTAAAGCAAACCACAAATAGTTCTGTTTCAATCTGCTCGCATTCTCTGCCGTCCCAGACCCCTCCTCCCGTCTGCTCTCATAGCCGCCCGAGTTCGGCCTGACAGGTGGTTGCCTGTTCGTGACCGTTGCCACCCATACCGAGATCGTTTGCTTCAGGAAGTAAATGGATCGGTGTGCACCCATTCCTCATTGAATACGCATGTTGGACAGAGGTAGTACGTATTCCGAGCTGGTATAATGAAAAAAAGGAAGAGGTTTGGTTCTGCAGTCCCACTTGCTTGATACCGTATGGTTAGCTTACTAAAACAATAGTAGTCAGCATCCCTAACCTAACCACTCTCTGGATTAGGAGGGGAAAGAGAGTGCAAGCAGAGCTCGAAGCACGCGCGCGGAAGCGAGTGCAGGTGGAGTGTACACACTGCCCCTCGACACAGACACTCGCTGGATTATGAGGATAAGTAGGCGAACTCACAACTGGAAGGCCATGGAGGGGATCGCGCGGCAATTTGCAGTACATGGCCACTGTGATGTGACTGCTTGCTGGATTGAGATAATAAAGAGAGCGCAAGCAGGACTCGAAGCACACATAGGGGAGCGTGTGTGAACTGATACCTGATGTAACCGGGGCTAGCGTGTAAACGCTCCCCTCCCCCCACAAGGCACAGACATTTGCCGAGTTAAAATAGTAGAAAAAGGTGCAAACACGTGATATATGTAAATTCAATGTAATCACACCTATTAAAAGTCTTTAAGTGGGGCTGCAGGACCAAACTCGCCGCGTAAATACAACAGTGAAAAGCCTTCAGATACCCTGCAATTTCAGATTGCAGTAGAGTCGTCTGCGTGAACTCGGAGGCCCAAAGTTTGGGTGCTGAACATGAGGCCTCGGTCATGACGCTTTTCGCAATATTGTAACGGTCAACAGTTAGTGTTTGGTACTGCTGGCCTCAGTGGAACACGACCTCAACGACTGTTAATTTTGCACTGAGCAGGTGTGATCCATCAGGCGTACGCTTTATGGCTGACCGCGACACATGCTGTCCTGAATTAGGCGCCATGGCAGTCGTTGTTTAAATTCTGCCTGTGACCCAATCGTCTCTCGCCACGCCTGCCGGTTCGGACGCGGAGAAGTACAACAAATTTTTTTGCTGCGAGCGCCTTCAATAAACATACATTTAAGTGGTGTTTTTGGCAGATTGCATTAACTGAACTGATTGACCTGTGAAAAATTCGACTGCCTTAGTGGAATTTGAACTCGCGACATTAAGCATATGGCTTTAGATGCTGCGGTGGTTAGAGTATCGATTGCATCAAAACCACTGCCCCCCCCCGTCGGGGTTTGAATTCAACCTTGGTTGCCGAGACTTTTCTCATAATTGGGTCAGTTAAGCTGTAATTTTATTTTCAATGGCTATGATTTGCCGGCTGCTGCCTTGTTTGGAATGTTAATGTCGCGGGAACCTTTTCGGTTAGGAAAAGACATTAAGATTGGCGCAGTGACTGAAAAATTTAAACAGTCCGTCTACGCGTGCCACACGCTACCTGCCCCATACAACACGCCAGGCCTTCACGCAGGGGGGAGGGGATTGGTGACTCGGAATTCACATGCGGGAGAAACCCCCCCCCCCCCTGGTGGCATATTAAGAAATCCCCCAATCTACACAAACACACATCGAACCGACTGCGAGGTCCGAGTTGTACGGCCAATTTGCGATTTTCTAACCAACGAAGCTTAATCCCTCATGGCAGATTCAAGCGCGTCAGATTTATTTTAGTAAAAAATTTGCTGAAATGCTGTGGGGACGGAGTCCACAGAATCGACTTCAATCTCTATTCCTCCTCATTTACTCAAGTCAGGCCGGTCAGTCAGCTGATGCTGGAGTTTGGTGCATGTGATTGGGTGCTAAAATGTCCGTCTGCGCGTGCCATACACGACCTGGATCGCCGCAAAACACTACAAATTTTAACACAACTGGTGTGGGCTTTACTTTGGCACAGAACGTCCCACTGGCGATTTTTGAAGTCTGTGCAATGCGATCAGATATCTGGGGGCCGCAGCGAGGTGACTTTGGACTCGGTGTTATCTGCGTACGTACTTTCACAGTTGTTAGTATATGCGTCCCGGATTTTCCGTATCACGTAATCGTCTTAGCCGCCTAAAGGCACATAAGTCGATCGTTTTCACTAAAAAAATCTTTCTCCTTCTCTACGAATTGAAATTCTCTGTTCTTGGGTTTGGATAAATATTAAAAGAAGGAGAGGCTTCCTGCTGAAGAGATTTATTTGCTGTCTGACGTTTCGAGTAGTGCTTTCGCCTACCTATCTCCAGCAACTGGAGAGCCCTGTGCAGAGCTCTCTTTACGTTACTCAATACCAAGATTGCCAATGCCAACCGGTGATGCGGTTCAGAATCCCAGGGAACGCCTCTCTGTCTTCTGACACGCCGCGTATGGATCACATTCTCACTTCTGCTGATGTGAGGAAGCAGGACAGGACAATCAGTTCCAAATGAACAAGGAAGACAGTGGGACTCTCGCAGTAGACAGGGCAGGCGGTGACGGACGAACCATTAGCGCTTGAAATGGGTGGGTGCACAGTCGCGGTGGGTTTCTGAGCGCGGGGGAGATGAACGAGGTGCTAAGGCTCCCTGTGCTGGAGGAGGGAGGGTGGCGGATCAGGGGAGCTGCTGGCAGCTGGATTAGCGATCGTTAATGTGGCACCTGGACGGGGGTTATGGAAGCGTGCTTGCAGAACTGCATAGTAGGCGCCTAGGTCAACATGGCGGCTCATACTACCGGACTGGCGTAGCAAGCCTCGAGGAATTTTTTCGTTCGTTTTGTCCTAGCCGTCGTTACGACCCCAGTGTCACCCCAATTGAGTCGGTGGTCGCATCCGAGTGCGTGTGTAAAGGCGATGTACAGGGTGTCGCGCCGACGGACAACTAGTTCGCGTTCGTTAACACGACTACACAGGTGTCAACAGGTATGACCGATATACATACAGGAGCAAATATGGCATAACTAGTAGATTGAACAGGGCAGATAATAATAAGAAGACTCTGCCACTATTAGGGGACGACTCAGCCTATAAGCCTCTTTCCGCAGACCCCATCAAGACACAACTTTTATCTGTTAATTAAGTACCGAAGAGTATTTCAAGGACCAAGAAGCTGTCGGGCGGTATTGCAAAATATATGAGATAAACTGAACCAACCATCATCAAGATCTGTGAACCTCCCGAAGTTCATAGACCTGAAGTCCCATGAACCGGTGAACCAAATTACGAAATTTCCAGGTGGCTATTCCACCAACTCCACCCGCTTACGAGAGATTGTGAAACTTCGATTCAGAATTTTATAGAGTTTCCCGAGAAACGGTGGGGAATCACAATTTCCGCTGATGAGATAATGGTCTCCTTCGATGTTGTTTTTTTGTCCACATCAGTTTAGTAGGACAATGCGCAGAAGAACATCCACAGTCCTATGACACAGATGTTACCGCAACTGCCTTCTTTGAACTCATAGACCAACTTTTCACTCGACTACCAGTGTTATCAGCAGCCTTCGGTCATCATGACACTGCACCAAGGTGGGAGGGGAGAAGAAAGCGTGGTTTATACTGGGAAAGTCTAGTTTCATTGTAAACTAAATCACACGCATGTCACCATCCCTGCGGTCGGCCTGCTGTGGAGTAAACGATGGGCATCGTCAAAATCGACGGTATAACTGCCATCGTAAGCGTATAGAATAACGGCCACACGGCATTTCAGCCACTGCAGGATGCCGAATTTTGAAGGAGCTTCGTTCCGGCTGCCTGAAAAAACCAAACTCGGTAAAAATTACTACTTAAATAGTGTGAGTCTTTTCCACTTATTTTCGATGTCCCTGTAAACTTAAATGAAGTTCATAAAAAATATGCGCAAAAATATTCCTTATGAGGCTCATTTGGTACGGAATTACGCCTTTTTCGAATTTTATACTCAAAGAGAGGTCGTCTTTCAGTTTTTGAAAATAGATCCAGATTTTGGGGTTTTTGAGTCCGTTAAATGTTCATCCATACAGCATCATATCTCTCCATCACATGAATCATACGACGTGGGTCCTATAATAATGTCTTCCTAATATCGTGTAGAAACATATAATTTACCATACACAGAAAGAATGCAGCATAGAGTTTTTGAATCCTACGCTCAAGTGGAGCGGGGGATGTAGGTTAGGTTTAACGTTATTTGTGAACGGAAACACTTTAAAAAAAAGTAAAATATACCTTTACCTCAAGTATAAAATTCTGATAATGTGTAATTCCACAACAAATGTGTGCGATAAAGAACTCTTTGCATATGTTTTCTATAAGACCTATCTTAATTGATAAGCTCACCGAAAACTCACGGGACAATTAATACTACTCAAGTTGTCGATCTGTGTCGAACATGGTTTATGCAGGCGGCCGGGAAGAAGCTCATCCAAATGTCCCCATGCTGACGTGACTGATGTAATGTTGGATTATGCCTCATGGTAATAGATATTACAACTTCGCCTAAGTAATCCTTTCTAACTGAAAACAGATTTCGAAATTTCTATAAACATTTGATCAGGTACCACCTGGCGTGACCAATTTCATGAAATGTTGGCTGAAATTCTGAAATGCGTTTTCGATTAGGAAGGATTAATAACGTGGCGTTATAATATTAGTCATCTTGTGGCATAATCTTATAATATTGCACACTCCTCAAGATGTCGGCTTTTTGAATGCACCTCTTTCCGACCCCCTGCAGAAACGACGCTCGGTATAAAATGACTACGTAAGTGGCATATATTTTTCGCAATGATTTTCGATGGTCATATCGATTTAAATATATTTTATGGAAAACATGCACAAAATATGCTTTCTTCTACTCGTTTGATAGAAAATCACATTCTCTTCCCATTTTATAACCTAAAGGTTATCTTTTGATTTTAAATAAGTTTCTAATTATGAGATTTTTGAGACCGTGAGATGCCCATATATACAGCATCGCACATGACAGTTTACTAATGCTCCTCAAGAAATGTACAACATCGCCCGCATCCATTGCGAACTTTTACAAAGTCTATATGGCGACTTCTTAAAGATATAGAGGAATGTGTGATTCTCCTTACGCGGAAAGCATACACTTTATAAATTAAAATCGCTAAATGCTAGTGCAACGGCTGATTATGCTCAAAATTGTTCGGGAATTGGGGAAATTTTTCAAAACTTTCTCCGGGTGTAAAATGAGAAGAGAATGTGATTTTCTATCAAACGAGTAGAAGAAGGCATATTTTTGCGCATGTTTTCTATAAAATATATTTAAATTTATATGACCATCGAAAATCATTACGAAAAATATATGCTACTTATGTAGTCATTTTCTACCGAGCGTCGTTTCTGCAGGGGGTCGGAAAGAGGTGCATTCAAAAGCCGACATCTTAGCAAGTCTGAAATATAAGATTATGCCACAAGATGATAAATATTACAACGCACGTTATTAATCCCTCCTAAATGAAAACGCATTTCAGAATTTCAGTTAACATTTCATGAGATCGGTCACGCATTGTATATATGTTATTTATTTCCTGTCAGAACAAGAACCTTGTTAATTATCAAGTCACAGTCCACTTAAAACAGCCGGGTCACACAATTAGGCGTCCAGCAAAGAACAGCATCAACGCTTCTTGCAGCTTTCTCGGCTTATGATTCTCCAGTATGGAACAACGCTGTAATCACAACCTCTTCAGGTCTAGGTAAAATTTTAACTCTGCCTGGACCGGGGACGCACGCAGGAACAGCGACAAAAACAAATGCTGAGGTTGCCAAGTGTTTACTGCGCAAAATAAGCCAGCTTGTGATGAACGTACACTGATCAGTAGCTCGGACACAGTCCAAAAATCGCAAGGTATGAGACTACGGGGGTAGCATATTCCGTGTGCTCTGTATTCTCCCCGTTGATTGTTTTGTACACGAATCCGAAAAGCGAATGAATGAGAGTTTTGTTCCAGGGACTAACGCCCCTTTCTTCTCTCAAGCTTTCTAACTAAAATTCGAACTCGCACAGTTTTGTGAACGATTGCGGCAATCTGCTCCCGCCATCGCTGGCGCGCCAGTTTACTCACACTGCATTAAGTCCGCCTTGCGTTCTCTGTCAATCGATCGTTCGAACTGCGCTAGATTCGACATCGATGTAGCGACAGCCCGGGTCTAATCGATGCCGCGTCCTTCACTGATTGGCTACCGGCGGACAAAGGCCAGGCGCAGGCACGCACTTCGCGCCGGGGCCACAGCCTCAACGGCACTCATTCGCTTGCTGCCCCTTTTTTCCGAGCCGCCTGTACGCTCTCTCGTCTCAGTAGAGGTTGTCTTATTACTCTGTCTCCCCTGGCTTTTGACTTGGGAATCGCCGAGTTGTCAACCATCACACCTCTACACGATCCCATCCGGCCAGCTTTCACTGACCTCCGCCTGTCACTGCCTAGCAACGGAGGCATCTTCCCCAAGCTTCTGGGCAACTTGAACTTATGAGGGAGCCGAGGACTGAGTCAGTGACTGCGCGGAGTACCTAATAGTGTCTTGACAACGCAGTCACGCTGTATTCCATTAAGCTTGCCTCGTGAATTTCAATGCCCACAAGAAGCTCGTGTTCACGATTACTTATTAGCATCACACTCGAAAAATAGTAGCACCGACGCAGACGATGGCATGGATAAGTCATCTAAAACATTTCAGGAACATTTTCCGCGAGTATAGGTGTCACTCAAGAAAACCAAGTATGGACCGCACCTCATGAGAAATCAAGACCAAACGTCGTCTGCCTATATCTTTAATTCGATTACGGATGTGCATGTGTTTACGGCCTATGACTCCTTCTAGCATTTGTATAGACAGTTGCGGATTATGGCAGTAGGCACTTTTCGATGGTAAATGACTTTCGAAGTCTCGACTGGGCTTGTCTTCGTTACCAGCTCCACTCATGTGCGGGAGCGCTTTCGAGTGCAAATGCCGGCATAGGGCTTCCGGAAGGTTTGGCTTAAACCGCTGTGGCAGCCTATGAAGACAGACTGTACTCCAAAACCACCTCATCAATTCAATATTGCACTTAACCACCGTCTGTGCTGCCTTCCCTCGTTATTCTCTGGAAATTTGCCTTCATTAAACGCTGTGATTTTCTGCCATTGTTTCTCTCCTTCTAATTTGCTAAGAGCATCGTTGTAGAGGACCCACTCTGGACGCTATTGGAGTCTGGTTTTCAGCCAATCACATCTATCCAAACCGACCAATCAACTTCCAGGCCAGGGCAGACACCCTCGCTCAAGACGCTCTGGCGACTGTCCCACCGTCACTCGGGGACGCCTGCTTTCCCGCCTCCGGACGTTCGTTCTCACCCGGCTGCCGGCTTCCTCTAACGTCTTATCTAATCATTCTATGCAGAATGCAATGCTCTATCTGCCCGCGTCCAAGCCCTCTTTTCATTTGGGACAGGGACCGGAAGGTCGTAGTAGCAGTCTGCCGCGACACGGTTATAAGCACAGCCCCGTATTACAGATGGTTTTGCGTTAAATTACAGGAGAATTAGGAGGAATAGTGATGGTATTAGGGTGAGGAGGTCTAATATAAGGGTCATTGATGGTGTTACTGGGGTTGGTGTTGGAATGGAAGAAGAGGGTGTGGTAGATGCTGCGCAAGTCCACTATCACTTTAAACTAATTCACGCACAAGTCACTGTGTCTGCTGCACCTCACTGTGGAGGACACGGTGGACATCGTCGAACTCGACGACCGGACTGTCGTGGAGGGTTTGGGTTGGGGTTAAAATTCGGACATGGGTATAGCTGCCCCCTGGAAATGGGTCCAAAGCCACCTGTGGTAAGGAGTACTGCTACCTAGGTTAGGGAATCATTTCTGTCTAAGGGCATACTTTATTTCTCGTCCAGTTCTTCAGAAGCTTCAATGTCGAAAAGGCCAATATGGTAAGTTTGACTCCTGCGTGAAGGAGTGTGATTGGCTGGCCGAGTAGTGTCCACGCTGTCTTTTGCACGGGGCACTGATCGTGGGTGTCACGCGCGTAACTTTCAATTAGAATGTATGCAATTATTGATTTAGCGCGATTTAGTAGTCAGCAGGACGCGAAAGAGTGAAAAACTAGTGAGACACCGCCATCTTCATCAACGACTTTAGCAGACTACTGTGAGTATCCAAATCTGAGAAACCGTTATCTGGGAAATATGCACTCTTGTCGCAGATTTTCGATAATTATAAAAAATTGCCTGGCTTCTTTAAGGGGGAAAATAGGAAAAAATCCAATCATTGTGAATATATGTGAGAATACGCAGTTTCATACTGTCAGTAGTTGCGAGACCTCGACTACTTTGTTTTAAATGAGCTGCGCGACTTCGATATTTTCTAAAACAAAGTTGGATAATCCATTTCATCATTATCAAGTCTCGTGTATTCTTGTAATGTCAACTTCGTGGGTGGACCAACAGATGAAATGTGTCATAATTTGCGAATGATGGCTAATCATTAGCAAACCGACATCAATGTGTAGACGCAACATCTATGTTAGCAGATAACAAATTTAGGAGAATTAATAACATAAAATGAATTTGAAGGACATTGTTATGTTGTTTAGAAATATCGCGTTTCTAGAAAGGGGGAAAATCCCGAAAAAGTCAGAAATGCCTGTAGTTTAGTAAACTTTAAATTTATGTGTATGAAAAGCCTTTCCTTGCAGAACAATGAGTAAATACAAAAGCACAAATCGAATGATCCCTGAAAATAACCTTTTGGCGAAGTTTAAATTTGAATATCTCTTGAGAATTAGTTTAATTTCAGGTATGGGGATTTGCATACAGTCTATAATTTGCGTGCAGATTCCAAGACGATTTCCTGATGATACTTGGGATTATTTACACATTTGAATTGATTGACATGTGGTTCTAAAAGGCAAACAGGACTTTGCCTGATTTCGCCAATCAGGAAGTCATAGAAACAAAGGGTTTCACAAGGACACATGTTGCCACGCGGGCCAGTGATTAATAAATTGAAATAAATTTGACAGATGTAATCGTGAACATACCATCTTGTGCATATGAAGAGGACTTTTATTTCGTGAAATGCCACTCTTACGTTATCTGAAATATGCCAGTAACGAGCAACATGTTTCGTGGGCAGGATAAATAAGAAGGTGGCATCTGGGAATGAAGTGAAATGCAGCGTCTTTCAGGGCAAATGGAGAATTAACTCAACCAGAACCTTGATAACGTCCCCATAGTCGTAAACAGCGGTTTACACATGGCTCCTTGAGCCGCTCAATGACGTCAGTGGCAGGTTGGGAGTTGAGGCTGACGTTCTACCCCGACCCCAGCAGATACCCAGGTCTCGTTTGCGATTGAACGCAGCGATCTCAGGCCGCCTACATTAAACCACACTCGGTAAAAACGACTACTTAAGTAGTACGCATCTTACCACTGATTTTCGGTGGTCTTATAAACTCAAATATACCTTGCCGAAAAATACGCAAAAATATTCCTTCTTATACTCATTTAGCAAAAATGCGTGTTCTTTGAGTGTTTTATTCGAGAAAGGGACATCTTTCGATTTTAGGAAGTTTTTAATTATGAGATTTTGTAAAACCATGAAATTTCCATTTTTACATCACATCCATTGTAAGATTCGCTGAGCTCTATGCGACCTCTTCTTAATAACGTAGAGAAATACTTGATTTTCACTACACGTTAAGTATGCAGCTTGGAGATTTTAAACTCTAGGTGCAAGGGCAGCCACAGCTGCAGATTAGATTCGGCATTTTTCGAAAACTGGAGAACTTTTTAAAACCGAAATATACGCTTTCTCCGAGTAGAAATTTCGAAGAAAACACAATTCTCTTCTAAATGAATATGAGAGAGACGAATGTTGATTGCGCCTTCTTTAAAATATATTTGGGTTTATGAGGGTATCTAAAATCAATGGGGAATATTGATATTACTCAAGTGGTCATTTTGTTTCTAGCGACTGGGAAGGAGTTCATTCAAAAGTTGCCACCCTGGCGTAGCTGAAATGCTGTTGGATCGTGCAGCAGACTAATAAATACTACACCACCATCTAAGTAGTCTTTTCAACCCTAAAAACACTTCAGAATTTCGATTAACATTTATCGAGATAACCCACCGCTCTAATATATGGCGGCCATTAGATCGCGCTTTTCGGAAAAGCGACCGAAAAGAGCGAGCAAGTTCCAGCAAAATGCAAGGCCTATGAACACTCTTCAACCCAGTGTGCGAAAGAATGTTTAAACGGTAGGGCCGGGCAACAGAACAGACGCGCCGTCATGGCGACTTCGTGATATTGACGATTCTTCCTGCCATGTCAGCTGGTATCAAACCAGCAAAAGGTGTGTTTGTGAACAACTTTCGCTTAATATGCCTGAGAGAAGGTATTATTAAGAATGGAGACGAATGTACGAGTCCCATGTTCTTGTTGCAAAAAATATGAGAGCGCAATCAATGGAACAGTAGGTGCATTAACCCGAGCTTTCGAACTCGTTCGGGAGCCCACCATCAGAGACTACGTGAGTGCAACGACAGGTAGTCACGGAGGAGACACGATCGCTGGAACAGGAGCTTTATTAGCCTTACGTTTCGGATTTTCACTCGAATACATCATCAGAGACAAAGTCAGATTAGAGTAGTGGATTGCCCAGTGTTGTAGCATTTGTAGGATGAAGTTGCTGGGCCGTTATGTGTCAATCACAGTTGGCAGCTCCGGAGTGCATCACAGCTTCACTGGTCAGGTGTTGAAGTATGCAGTTGCCATGCAGTTACGCTGCGTCTGTATGTCGGTCAAAAGTATTAGCCCCCACGCTCATCGCACGCCGCTGAGTGGCTAACTGCCGGATTTCGTTATCCGTATGGACTCTTGGGTGATTTAAATCGTCGATATTGGTACCGGGGACAGTGGTTAACCGCACGCCCTGCTCGCGACCAACTACTTTGCCTAGACAAAGACTTGCCGCCAAATATGGAAGGTCGTTACGCTTGTTGATTGATTGAGAACCGGAAAACCATGACTTGAGCAGTTCGCGGTTCACACAGTTGTGGCACTCGGGAGCTGCCAACTGTGATAGGCATGTAGCGGCCCGCCACCTACATCCTATAAATACTGCAACAACTAGGCAATCCATTACTCTTATGAGTCTGTTTCTGATGATGGATCCGAGTGAGAATCCGAAACAGCAGGCTAATAAAGCTTCTCGACTACTTCCTGGAACTCGCCTCCTCGCTTCTATTGGCAAGTGAACGGTTTTGCAGTCACTGCATAAGGGGGATGTTGGTGCAGTGCCCATGATTGAACCGGGGCCACGACGCCTAACGCACAGTCGTTTCACGACGTCGTGACAGTGTGCGTCCTTGGTCGGGAAGTGGGTCGCGCCGCCTGGCCGCCTGGCCGCGTGGGCGTATCGCCTGATATCAGCGGGGTTGATCGCCGTGCCTGTTGATGTAGCTGGTGTCAGATACCCACGCCGCGCATAGGAGGAATGTGTCAGAAGCGAAAAAACGCATCACTGCAGAGCTGGGCGTAGTTATCGCCCATCGTCCGGCAGTTACCATGCGCACCTGAATCATGCAGATGAAGGACCGGCTGAGCACGCAGGTGAGTAATCCGGTTGGGTTTATCAAATTCCATGCCACGACTGCTCCTGTCATTATACAGGCCAGACAGGAGTACTACTCATCTTGCCAGTACTCGGGCACAAATGGGTGTTCAGAGAGGTAGCTCGCACGCTGAAGGGAGACTCCCGCTATCATGCGCTGCGCCCACACGGACAGGTGGCACGGCCAACTTCCCACTCAAGGACGCACACCGTCACCGCGCCATCAGATAACTGTGCGGCGGGTTACGTGAATCCGACCCATTCACGGACACTACCCCCTCCTCTGCTCCCCTATTAACAGTTCGACAGTTGGATCCTCGATTTTGACTATGTTCCCCCTACGCTCCACAGTTGAGTGAGAGCAGGGACGGCAACCTGTGTGCGAATTCAGTTCAGTTCAGTTTATTGAGGGAAATAGGCGTAAGCCTTTGAGTACCCTATTTGAAACGTAAAAAATGTGTGGTATACAGATAAATGTTCTGGGCTGAAATAGTTCATACGAGCCCATAATGGTAAGACAAAATGAGAACGAGTTACATGGGGTGATCTCTACTTCTCATCGCTCTTAGTCATTTCGGAACATAAATATGTCAAGATTCTTTTTAAAACCTTGTATTGATGGTGACATCACATCATCTGCGGGAAGGGCATTCCATGGTTTGACCACTCGAGCAGAGAAGGAGAACTGCCGCACATCCAGCTTTGCCTGCTGAGTGCGCAGTTTAAACGGGCGACCTCGGAGGTTGGTCGTAGTAGCAGATTCAAAAGAGTCCTCGAAGGCCAGGCTGCACTCCAAATCCTTTACAAAGCGGAATGCTTGCAAGAGATCCCCGCGAAGTTGCCTGTGGCTCAAAGAGAAGAGGTTCAGATTTACTAGGCGGGTTGCATAAGGAAAGGAGCCTTGACGCCTAACCATCTTCGTGGTTCTCCTTTGAACTCTTTCAAGGCAATTTTGATCCTCAACCGCCCACGGTCTCCAGGCTTGTATGCCGTACTCCAAATGCGGCCGGACGAATGTTCCGAATGTCTTTCAGAAAGCATCTTCGTCAAGGTCTATAAAACCACGCTTGATGACGTGCAGTACGGACATTGCGCTCTTTGCCTCTCTTGAACAATGGGCGGATGGTTTTAGGGAACTCGTCGACAGCACACCGAGGTCCTTTTGAGCTTCGACCTCTTGTAGAGTTGTACCGCCCAGAAAGTAGTCCTTTGTGCTGGCGGATCTGGCTGTGTTGCCCAGGTGAAGTATGCTACATTTGTTCATAATGATGGTAGAATTATGCTCATTCTACCACACTCTGTCATACCTCACCCAGCTGAACATGGTGGGGACGGGATCGGGCCAATTGGGTGACAAGGCCGAACAGCACGTCTACGCGTGCCACACACACACGCCTGGTCCGTATACGGCGAACCAGGTTTCCGCATGGGCAGGACGCGAGGGGCTCCGTTCCCAAGTGATTGGGAATGCCATTGAGGCTTGTATTGAGGGGGAACCATTTAGGCCTGAGGACTGAATTCTTGCATCAGTTCACAGCCTTCCAAAAATACGACTTTTAGCGCAAAATGGCGGGCTAAAAGGACGACAGGTTGTTCCTAGCGGGGGATATGCGCTGAATGCCGTGGGACGCAGTCGCCAAAGTCGAGCCCATCTTCTCCTTCCGCTCCCAGGCACCAATACAGTGTCCGAGTCCGCCAGTCATCTGTTGAGGGGATTGGAAGCAGGCAACTAGCTTATCGTGAACCTGCTCCTAGGCGTCTGAACGCGGGGCGTCCAAGCAGGGCGATCTGGACGGGGAAACCCGTTCACAATGAGGGAAAACGAACAGACATCTGTTAGAAGTTGGCGCTACCCCTCTGCGAACCGTCCACGTCCGTTCTTTCCTTACTGTTTCCGCGGGCGATGCGGAAGTGTCCTACGAGACCGCTGCGAGTCTGGAATATGCGTTTGCTGCGGAGGCATGTGGTAAAGCGTCGGATATTCGCAGCGTTGATCTTTCTTCTCCAGTACTGGGTTATCACCTCGGTTAGATGATACTTGATAGCCCTCCTGACACCGCAACCTCCCAGCTGCCTGTCAATCGGGACCGGTGGTAATAGGGGCCATGCGGGTGGGACAATTGAGTGGAGGGGTAAATGGCGATTGTAGTATATGCTGGGAATTGACGCTCCAGGTAAAGTGGAAGCCTAATTTAGATTAGGTGAAAAATACAAGGAAGGTATGGAAATCAGCAAGGAGACTTTGAACGGTGTGCGGAATAAATGCATCCTAGCCTCAGATTGGAAAGAAAAACAAGTCATGGCGAACAACCAATGGAATGAAGGCAACTGGTCCGAAGGTCATTCCGCAGTGTGTGCGATAGAACTCCATCCAGCGTAATGGACAGAAGAATACGAGTGTCAAGCAGCGGCACGCGGGACGCCACAACGTAAGCCGGGTAAGACTTTTACGCGAAAAATTGGTTTGGGTGGAAGAAAAAATCCGCAAATAATGAGGCAGTCGAAAGCTACCTCTGCTAATGAAAGTTGATAAAGGGTAAGCCTCATTGTCATCGTTACCGGTGCCAATCCGCCCAAGATAGTAACTCTACAATGAATGAGGCAGTCAAAAGCTACCTCTTCTTATGAAAGTTGATGTAGGGAAAGCCTCATTGTCATCGTTACCGGTGCCAATCCGCCCAGGATAGTACCTCCACAATGAATCTGGTACAGGTAATACAGCGTAAATTTAGAAACATAATGAGAACGTAATCATAACTACTGAAATCAAGCCAGTAGGTACAATTGTGGATTCTGTGGGCACGGCAGCCAACTACCTCTTCTGATGAAAGTTGACATAGGGTAAGCCTCATTGTCATCGTTACCGGTGCAAATCTGCCCAGGATAGCACCTCTAAAATGAATCTGATACAGGTAATACAGCGTGCGCGTGAATTTAGAAGCATAACGAGAACGCAATCACGGCTACTGAAATCGAGCCAGTAGGTACCACTGGGGAGTCTGTGGGCACGGCTACCAACTATCATCTTACCATCACCTCTCCCCCTTTATATCTGGCTGATTCACCTACCGTATACGGAGAAACCCTGTCTCTCCACGCTGCACATCTTCCGTCATCTGCGCATAGGTTGGTGTATAGTGAGAGAAGACTTGCGCAGAACCTACCTCACTCCCATCCTCCTCATCCACCTGGTTCCGGTGTCAAGACAGAGTAAAGAGGACCGGAGGCGAGGGAGAGTGGGGGTGGATGGCGCTACCGAACCCACACCTTGGTGCTCCACTCTACACCCCCTGGTCCGCAACAAACACTTGACCAGGATTTTAGACAATAACAACAACAATAGAAAGGACGATGACTGGGCAGCCATGCTCACAACCTGCCGGAGAACCGCCAGTACACAGCAGGCTGCGAGGGCCATGGTTTGCTGATCATGGCATAGCAGACACTCGCAAGCCTTGGGGCTCAGAAGGGTGATACACAGCCCTGGATTTGCCTGGACCATCACCCTTTAAAGACTGGGCAACCAGAGACTGAATGGCACTATCTATTAAGTAACACACACTCCTCACGTGCGTAAGAATGCCACAAATCACTTTAAGAAGGGGCCGTGACAGCCTTGTTCTCAGTCCGCCACTTCACACAAACACACACAAGTGGGCAGACTGCGTGTATTTAGTTGAGTTGGCAGGCTTCCATCCACTAGTGCCCAAACAGTTCGACAGAAACAAACACATGTACGCTCCGTTAACACGAAATACCCACGAGAACGTACTTAATGTCTACTGGGTTTACTAGTTGGCTTTCTGTTTGTAAACTGCAGATCCGTCGACGCCGAACCGGATCCCGGTTTAGTGGCCATCATATCAATACCTTGCTGCGGGACAGACAGCTCACCTGAAAAATGACGTTTAAATGAATGAAGGCCGTATATGTGTCTTTTGGATAAACGGGTCCAAACTCGTTGCAGCGAACAGGAGGGCAGAGTACGTGAGGCCCGTCATCACCGCGACCAGTTTGCACAAAATGGTTATCCGATGGCGTTCGTAAGTCGCTGCCTACGCGGTCGTTCCGAGAGGACTCAAACAACAAGACCACCGACTATATGGCATTTTCTGCCATACATAAAGGGCGCTTCAGAAGTGACCGAGAGCACTGCTGCGGAGCTAGGTGTTGGGATTGCACACCGCCCCAAAGCCACCATGCGCAATAGGGTCATGAAAATCGAAGACCGGTTAAAGCCTGAAGAGCAATCTGAAGTGGTGTATTGCATCCCGTGTCAAAACTGTTCTTGTAATTACGCAGGCCAGATTGGACGTATGCTCGGATCGCGCATACACGAACACAAGTTGGCTGCGCGACGAGGCGACGGACTATCACAAGTGGTTGCCCACACCTACGAAGTTGGTCGTGAGTTTGACTTCGAAGCCAACAAAGTAGTCGTCCACGCCGGAAACAAAACAGACTGGGAATTGATTGAAGCCTGGACCTGGGATGAGAACTCAGTCAATTGACTTATCTATCCGGAGCCGGCGTACAGAGCCCTACGCAGTCACCTCCAGTCTTGCGCCATCGGCCGATGATTGGTTAGCACGCCCTATAACTGTCGCTTGTTCTTCTGCTGCTGCTACCATCTCTGACGATGGACTCCCGCACGAGTTCGAAAGCTCAGAACAATAAACAAAATGTTCCGGTGCTCGAAACCCCTTCTTTTACACTTAAGGCGGTTTGCATCTTTGTAGGAGAGCAAGTGCAGTCGCCCTGAATGCTACCACTTCTGAGAAAAAACATAAAAACTATCTTTTTTTCGTGAGATGCGAACATAGTATACGGGTGTTTACATTCGCAATTAGCGAGGAGGACGAAGCGAGTTGGACAAAGCAAGTCATGAATTAACGGTAAGGGGAATTCGGCATCCTTCATTACTGAGTCAGTCCCCATGTGGACGCAGACGAGGAATGATTTTTTCCGTCCACATAGATAGGGTAAGTTTACGATCGGCGGAAATTGTAGAAAACCGGTTCATAAATGTTCTCGTAAGTGCTCTATCAAGTCTTTAAAGGACATGCCTCTTGTATCTACGATATATCGAACTTTAAGGCATTTTGTTCTCGGTATTATTTTAAAACAGGTGTAAACAGCAGAATTTACTGGCAGCTTATCGACTGCAACCCGTCGCATACAGCAAATGGGATTTGCTCAGAAAATCGATGTGAACACAACACGATCATTTTTTATGCACACAGTCTAAGTAGCAACCGAGGATATTGAGAAAGGCACACACAGGGTAATGTAGGACTGACAACTCCTGATATAGGATAGGCCGAACAGATGTATTAGGCCTGCCATCGCACTCGCCAGGACGAACGAGATAGAGAAAGATTTAGGCGGATACGAAAGCTATGCTAATAACGTAAATGGATTTAATACATAGAAATTGCTAAGAACATGACCGAAAGACCATTAAAAGCTCGATCATGACGGCAGAAAAGAAAAGGCTTTCTATCAAGCCTCTTTTCCAGGAGACGCAAATGAATGAACTTTAAGGAGACGCCTAACTCAAGCAGTATCTCGCAGTTTTCCAGGAGGGGGAGCCCGCATACTGTTGTTCACTAGTCTCATCGTATGCGGAGAGAGCAAGGACAAAGTTCTAGCCCAGAACACAGCTATGTGCATTTAATCCTTCATCCACTCCTTCGGGGCGGAATGTACTGGTCGATAGAGCTGGCGTTTTCCCAAAGAAATGAGAAAACACCTTCTAGCATGGTCAGGGAAGGGTCAAATAAAGAACGTTAACGGCTCCATCCTCGAGCACTTGCTGGACACTGACTACCGCGTAGATTCCAGAGATCCCGCATACTACTCAAAACCACTTGGACAGCGTCTGTTGGCTTCGACAGAGGCGGCTGCAATCGGGTT